TAAACCAAGCTGATCTGCACTCATTCCAGGTTGATCCTGGAAAAGGTAGGATCATGCATTGATCCTAAATTGTTGCATTTTGATTATGATGCACTCATGCACAGCAGTTTAAGGTGTTTTGAGCGATATTCAGATTGGAGAGTCATAATCTTAGTATGCTTCTAGCTCTAAGCACTTAGTGTGAGGGTTTGCTGAAGAGTCAATGATGCAATCAGCTGGTTTTCCTTAGATAGAAAACTTTGAGTAAATCTGACTGGATGATCTGGTGAACTGGAAAGTGCTTTGAGATGACGTGTTGTTAATTGGCGCTATAGAAATAAACTGAATTGAATTAAATTGAATTGAGAGGTCTGATGCCGGTGTTTGCCAATGCATCCAGATCATCCCTTTCATGCATAGTGGTCACTACAGTGTACAAAGTGTTATTTCTATATATTTGCCTTGAATTTTAGGCACTGATCTAGTGGAAGCGATTGCATCATCCCATACAGAAAAATCCCACTCGTTGATCATTGCATTGGAAACAAAAAGGCTTTGAAAACAAGATGGCTGAAAATGGGAAAAACACCAAACACCTCGGATATTTCGTTTTTTGCAGGGGATCAGAGGAAAAACCATTCCAAAACTAGAAAAATTAATTACAACAATATCAACATGATAAAATGCATAAAGTACACTGGAGTGGACAGATAAATATTTCTTTATAGAAACCTTTATAGAACCTTGTTTAACATTCCTTAGAATTTATAAAAAACACTTTGTAAAAAAGATCCCGGCTGAGTTTAATTCATGCATGAGAGGGTTAAAATGGTGTAATCTGAAGGACAGTTGATGCTCTGATTTAACATTCAAATATTGCAAGCAAGACGAAACCAGCTCCTGTGGCAGGTCAGAATAATGCCAGCAGTCGGCTGTGAAGTTACTAAGGCCAGCGCTGGTGTTATTGAGACCATCACTGAGGAAAACTGCAGAACCTGCTCATGCATCATGCACAGGAAATATCTCTGTGGCTCAAGAAAAACATGATAAAGATTTGTTTGATAGGCAGTCTTGTTAAATTATTTCAAACAGAAGAGAATTAATAGGAGCTTCTTTCTGAACCTTGTACCGACAATTAACTCTTTCTTTATGCGGTGGACGTCTTTTAGTGGAGATATACACTCACCGGCCACTTTATTAGGTAC